GCACTACAAATAAGATATGTGCACTGTGCATAGGAATTTATTCATTTTTTTTTTCAAATTATAATCCGGCCCTTCAACAGTTTGGTGGACTGTGACCTGGCCCTCTGTTTAAAAAGTTTGAGGACCCCTGATATAACAAAACTCATGAAAGTCTTTCCCTGTTTTGATTAAAAATACATGATTTGTTGTTTATTTCACATAGATTCAGAGGTTTCCCGTTTTGTTTGTGTTGAAAAACGGTTTGGAAAGCTCTGCTGTAGAGTGATTCTGTAATCGGCTTCCAGTAGATGTTGACCATAATAATATCACACTGGGGGACCTAGCAATGCCTAGAGAAAACAGCACCTCCAGAGAAATTATAGAATTTCCCTGGTGAAGCAAGAAAATGCCTGGATAGAACAGACTGTTTTTTGGTTATGTATAGGGCAGTTGAACTTGCTGACCAAAAGGTCGGTGGTTTAAGTCTGTGGAGCAGGGTGAGCTCCCGCTGTTAGCCCCAGCTTCTGCCAATCTAGCAGTTCGAAAACATGCAAATGTGGGTAGATTAATAGGTACGGCTTTGGCGGGAAGGTAACGGCACTCCATGCAGTCATGCTAGCCACATGACCTTGGAGGCATCCACAGACAATGTCGGTTCTTTGGCTTAGAAATGGAGAACCGGACACAACTAGACTCAGTGTCCACAGAACCGGACACAACTAGACTCAATGTCAGGGTAAAACCTTTACCTTTACCTATAGGGCAGTAGCAGAAATGGCAGCAAATACAGCAGTGTGCCAATAATCAAATATGTAAATGCTTAGCCCACAAATGTGGATGGACAATTGCATTATATTGCTGGGTTTTCTTCCCAAAATGCATTTTCAAACCCATTCTTGTAATGAAGCTGACTCTAGTACCCGGGTATTTGGCATTAAATTTTAAAGCACTTCCTTTTTGCACATGTTCGTACAAATTATAATGCCCTATGTGTAGTGCTTAGACGTTTATTTTTTTAGTGTCTCCATTATCTGTAGCCTGCATCTTCTAATGCTGTAATTTTAATGCCATGGTGCTATTATGATTATGGATTGTCTTATTTAAAAAGCAGAGCCTGAGATACATTGTGGCAATAACTAAGGAAATGCTATTATTACAAAGGCCAGAGATGGAAATGAGGCCAAACTTCTTACGGTGAAATCCAAAATGTAACGTCTGATCTTCCATAAGGTGGTAGAGGCCGAAGCTTTGATATAAGCATGTAAATCTTCAGCCATTTCATCTTTACATGAGAGGATAAATAAATTTCCATATTTTTCTCTCTGTTGTGGGATAAAATGGTTGTTTCTATGCAGTTTTTGCCTGGCATTTGCATAGCGCGTTGGTGTTTTTGAGAAATTATTCTGTGCAGAAATACACACATCTTTTGCACAAAATTTGAAAGTTTCCACAAGAAGTTGTTTTTTTTTTTGCATGAGCACATTCTTTTCAAAAACATATTGACAGAAATCATGTCGTTTGCACACAAAATTATTTCACAAAAATATACTTGTGCATAGAATTTATCAGGCAAAAAAACCCCAGCATTTAAGGTTAGACATTTAAAAGGATGAGTTTTCCCTTCAGTTTTTGCACCCAAGTAGATTGCACTAAACTTTTGGTGAGCAACATAATTTTAGAATCCTGTATATAGTGGGGGAAATTAAATGCCCACATAAAATACTAAAATTGTCAATTAAAATTTCTCTAGTTTATCTGACGTAAATGCTCGTTTTCTTCTTCACCACTCAGCTTTTTCATTGCCTGATTTTCTGTCCAATCAGCAATTGTTTTGACACCATGTAACAAATTAACTTTGCATCCCCAACTTCCTGGATGGTGTCATGGTACCACAAATTGTGACAATTCACAAGTTGTTGAAGGAAAGGTGGTATTTTCCTAACACCTTTGTCTATTATTATGTGGCTGTTCTGTGGCCTTAATAAAACTATATATCTATGGCATATTCTGACAATTTCTCCTTCCTGCAAAAGATATACAGTGGGAAAAGCTACCTACACATGAACCAGCACGAGGTAGTAAACTCCTGAAGCATTAAAAGCGGCCTGTACCAAAGTGCACATAGACAACATAAAAAATACTCTCTCCCATGGTACAAATAAATCCCCCGAACAAAGTAGACTAGTTCATCGGTTACAGTGCCTCCAGTTGGGACTCAACCAAGCATCCTACATAGAAAAGAGTTTTTATAGTCTATTACAGTTGACAAAAGTGTTCCTCAATCCCCTTCTTCACACTCAGTCTTCCTTCTAGCCCAGCCTTCTCCTTGCTGAAATAGTACTCTTATCCTGATTTCTTTTGCGTGAGAGCCCAATACAAAATATAATCCATCTGTTTTGCCATCTCACAAAATTGCTGTGTTTCTTCTGAACACACATTGCCATTATAAAACGGAGGCATTCATTTCCCTGTCGCCTGGTTTGCTCTTACAGAATTCTGGGAAATATAATTTAGGGAAGCCAAGGACCTTTGTGGCTGAGGATTCCAAAGGCCCTGCCCTAAACTTTCCCAAAATTCTGCAGGATCAAACCAGGCGATAGCAAAGCAGAGACCTGTACTTTAGAATCCTTATTTTATTTTATTTTTGGTCATGTCAGGAGTGACTTGAGAAACTGTACGTCCCTTCTGTGAGAGAGAATTGGCCGTCTGCAAGGACATTGCCCAGATGTTTTGATGTTTTGACCATCCTTATGAGAGGCTTCTCGCATGACCCCACACAAGGAGCTGGAGCTGATAGAGGGAGCTTATCCGCGCTCTTCCCAGATTCAAACCTGCAACCTGTCAGTCTTCAGTCCTGCTGCCACAGGGGTTTAACCCACTGCGCCACCGGGGGCTCCATTTAGAATGCTAATGTGATATCATCCTGATTCATTTGTAGAAATACACAAGCCCTATGTAGAACTATATAAGGCTTAGCATAACAACAACAACAACAACAATTTTATTTTTATGTCCCCCCACCATCTCCCCGAAGGGACTTGAGATGGTTTACATGGGGACCAAGCACAGTCAAACAGAGTTTAAAAAATGACACAATAAAATGCATATACAAAACATCATAAAAACATAAATAATCATGCAACAACCAGTAGCCGAGCATAGTGGACATTTCAGAACTAAGGAGCGAGGCAAGGGCTTCTGCAATACAACTGCAAGGACAGGGCTGATAGGAAAGTACAAGAGCCAGATGATAAGTTAGGGCTAGAAGGACCAAGTAAATTAATGCAATACAACTGCAGGGATGGGGACAATAGTAAAGTGCAAGAGCCAGATATTAAGTTATGGTGTGTTTGGTTTGGTTTTGTTTTTTTATTTTGTTTTTTTGTTGTTGTTTTTTCGTGTCTGGAGCGACCTGAGAAACTGCAAGTCGCTTCTGGTGTGAGAGAATTGGCTGTCTCCAAGGACGTTGCCCAGGGGACCCCCGGATGATTTGATGTTTTATCATCCTTGTGGGAGGCTTCTCTCATGTCCCCGAATGAAGAACTGGAACTGATAGAGGGAGCTCATCCACCTCTCCTCGGATTCGAACCTGTGATCTCTCGGTCTTCAGTCCTGCCGGCACAGGGGTTTAACCCACTGCGCCACCGGGAGCTCCATTAAGTTATGGTTAGAAGGGCCAATTCATCTAGTGAACCAATTAATCAAAGGCACATTGGAACATTGTCATTTTTAGCTCTTTACGGAAAGTGGACAGGGTGGGCACTAATCTAATCTCCCTGGGGAGAGAGTTCCAGAGCCAGGGGGCCACCACCGAGAAGGCCCTCTCCCTCATCCCCACCAACCACGCTTGTGAGCAAAGAGCGAGCATGCTGACTCCATTCTCTTTCCCCATTACTCTGCACATGTATGAAGGTTGATAGATTGCTTTCCACAATCCAGAATCCTCAAAAAATAATGGTTTGCAACTGCATGGAGATATCATAAGAAGACTCGGACTTGGAAGGACAGCTATGAAGGAACTAGACAAGACAAGACCTCAGTGTAAAAATATATCATTAAATACTAAAATTAAGATTGTTCATACCATAGTATTATGCATTTCTATACATACTTGTGAAATTTAGACAGTGAAAACAGCTGATAGGAGGACAATCAACTTGCAGTAGTTCTAGAGCAAATCAAACATGAAATGTCCCTAGAAGCTAAGATGATTAAACCGAGTGTCATACTTAGGATATATCTTGAGATGATGTGTTTTATTGGAAAAGGCAGTAAAGTAGAAAGCAGTAGACAAAGAAAGGCCGTATTCCAGATGGATAGACTAAATCAAGAAGGCCACAACCCTGAGTCTGGCAGTTGATGATAGGGTGACTTGGAGGCCTTCTATTAATAGCGTCAGTATACGTCAAGGACTGTTGATGGCAGTCAACAGCAAAATCGTATGGGTAGGGTATAGCAGAAGTAAGAAATTGAGACTGTTGGTGCCCCTTCTCTAATGAAATGAAAACTAGAATGGAAAATGCCTCGTACTCACCCCACAAGGACTGAGGGGGACAATGTTGCCATGGTTTTGCCTCCCACTGCAAGTTATTTAAGACAGAGAAGAACACTTATTAATCCAGGAAATAAACTGAGGGGTGGGGGGGAGACATCCTAAAATTGTCTCCCATTGCTCCCATAGGTGTGAAACATTTTTAGTAATATATATATAAAATAAAATAAAAAGGATGGGCAGTGAGGTGGTTGATGCTCTCCAAGGTCCTGGAGGGAATCACTACAGTCCCACAACCCCTGCAGTTGTAAAGTATGATATTCTCTTCGGTTTCTTGTTCCCTACACATAAAAGGCAACAAAAGAGAGGACCATAGCTAAGCTGCTTCTTCCCTCAATAGATTCAGCTTGACCTGACCTCAAATGCCTGAATAATGATATGTTTGTACCCGATATGGAGTCTGTAACCTTTAACAGCAGCGTTTAAGGTTTTCTTTGTTTCTGTTCCAACTTCTTTAACATTTCTGCAGATTTCTGGATATTCATTAGTCATACAGGCAAGAGATAGTGGCATCCCTTCTTTGTCTGCGTCTGTGACTGTCAACGTTGACATTTCTGATGTGAACGATAACAGCCCCGTATTTACACCCGCCAACTACACAGCTGTGATTCAAGTAAGTTTGCCCTGAGCATCAAATAAACCTCCCATAGTAGCCTGACCTTTCAAATGTTTCAGTAAAATTTAAGTTGTCTTTGAAAATTTATCAGCTTTCAGCATATGACATTATCTGTTTCTTTCTTCAAAAAGGAAGGGGACACTGTTCCTTAATTCTGTAACCCGGTTATAGATAAGGAGACTGGTTTCCAGAGATAAATCCCAGTTTTCTAGAATTTACCATTGGTACAAAATGGGTCTCAAAAGGCTTTCATAAGGAGAAGGTACAACACATTATAAGCTTGCCTCACACTGAATATAGTGGCTGAGATTTTGCATTTTGAGATGTAAATATATGATATGTAACTACATCTGACAATATCACCCGTAGACAACCTCCCTATGAGCCAGGCAGTACCCAACCAAAGGTTTCCAAAGCATTGCAAATCAAGATGTTGGGAAATGTCTGGTGATAGCACATATTGAGGTAAGACAGCTAGGGAGAACCCTTGGGGATCCTTCCACTAGTGCTTCTCTTAGTGCGTCCCAAGATTGCAAAAGTGCAGCAGACACAATTTTCCAGTGCCTAGATCTGTAACACCATAACCATCATTCTGTTCAGGTGCTGCTCAGCTAAAATGAGTTGTTGTTTTTTTTTGCAACCTTTTTTAGCCATTGATAATCCTAAAAGTGAACCCTAAAAACTATGAGTTTGGTTTATGATCTCAAAATTACTAAATAACATGTTGATTTTGAACACCAGCTTTTTGCATGGACTCAGAGTACTTTGTTAAGAAGTCCTTCATTATGTGCAAAATTCAAGCATGTGTACTGTACTATATTCCTACAGCTTGCTCCTCTGTTGTGTTAGAACCTGACTAAAATTAGGTTTGAACACTGGAACCCAATCAAACTTAGCTATAAGCATTGTGAACTAAAATAATATTCCCTTTTTTTTACAAGAAAACTCATGTTCTTAGCATTCTAGAGAGCAGATGCATTTCTTCACCAATGTCCTGAGATATATAATTAAAATGGCTTTCTTTTTTCTCCCCCTGCTCCTTACTGCATTTTTTGTACAAAGGAAAATAAACCAATAGGAACAAGCATTTTACAGCTGGTGGTAACAGACAAAGACTCTCTGCACAATGGGCCCCCTTTCACCTTCTCTATCCTGTCTGGTAATGAAGACGGAGAGTTTACATTGGACCAACAAGGCATCCTCCGATCTGCAGCCACCTTCAAGCGCATGACAGCAACTGAATATGTACTCTGTGTTCAGGTAAGTCCTCTTTGTATGGTGGATCAAATGACTGAAAATTGTTCTACTGGCCATTTGGTTCAAGTTTTATTTCAGGGGGAAGATCAGGGTCAAGTCCTGTTTGACAGAATAGCCTTGTTGTGGTGCTACAGCTTCCATCGCTTGTGGCATAGCAAGATGTGGGTGTTGCTTTTGCAGCTTTCCATCAAAATCCCCTCATGCACCCTCTAGTTTGGATTACGTAGAACCATTGGATATAGCTATGTGTGGGTTGTTGTAGGTTTTTTCAGGCTGTATGGCCATGGTCTAGAGGCATTCTCTCCTGACGTTTCGCCTGCATCTATGGCAAGCATCCTCAGAGGTAGTGAGGTCAGTTGGAACTAGGAAAAAGGGTTTATATATCTGTGGAATGACCAGGGTGAGACAAAGGACTCTTGTCTGCTGGAGCTTGGTGTGAATGTTTCAACTGACCACCTTGATTAGCATACAATGGGCTGACTGTGCCTGGAGCAAACTTTTGTTGAGAGGTAATTAGATGTCCCTTCCTGCTTCCTCTCTGTTGTGCTGTTGCAATTTTAGAGTTTTTTAATATGTGTCATCGACTTACTATTCAACTTACCATTCAGTGGGTCTACTCTAAAATCCTTCCAGAAAGAGAGCTACTGTTGTTACTTCAAACTAGACTAAAGCCATTGAATCTTGGGAGTTGGTAAATCCAGACTTTGATTCAGTAGGTCTGCTCCAGTTGACAAATCTTTTGGCCAGAACTGTACTTCAAATTGATCTTTTTTTTCATTTTCCACTTTCTTGTACATTCAATTAGGTAAAAGATTCTGGGAAACCTCAGCAGGTATCTCACAGCTACATCCAGATCCGGGTGATAGAAGAGAGTGTCCACAAACCAACAGCCATTCCACTGGAGATATTTATCGTCACTATGGAAGATGACTTTCCAGGAGGTGTTATTGGGAAGATACATGCAACGGACCAAGATGTGTATGATGTCCTTTCATATGGTTTGAAGTCAGAGCAGAAGAGTTTGTTCAAAGTCAACAATCACGATGGCAAGATAATTGCCCTTGGAGGGTTGGATAGTGGGAAGTATGTCTTGAACGTATCTGTCAGCGATGGCCGTTTCCAGGTGCCCATGGATGTGACTGTCCATGTTGAGCAGTTGATGCAGGAAATGCTACAGAATACGGTCACTATCCGTTTTGAGAACGTCTCCCCAGAAGATTTTGTGGGGCTCCACATGCATGGATTTCGGCGCACTCTACGCAATGCGGTTCTGACCCAGAAACAAGACAGCCTGCACATTATTAGTATTCAGCCTGTGGCGGGCACCAATCAGCTCGACATGCTGTTTACGGTTCAAATGCACACCGGCGGCTTCTATAAGCCTGCCTACTTGATTCAGAAACTCACCAATGCAAGGCGACATTTGGAAAATGTGATTCGCATTTCAGCTATTCTGGAAAAGAATTGCTCTGGACTGGATTGTCAGGAACAGCACTGTGAGCAAAGCCTGTCTATCGATTCCCATTCCCTGATGACCTACAGCACAGCACGAATTAGTTTTGTGTGCCCTCGATTCTACCGAAATGTACGCTGTTCTTGCGATGGTAAGTAGTAATCACCCTCAGCCCATATTCTCTTTGTTTTTCCCCATTCTCTACCTGAGAGTTTTGTTTTTATTTCTCTAACACCCAGTAATATGGGCAGTTAGTCAAAAGAACTTTTTGGGGAAAACAGTCTGATGGAGAATTGATTTCTTATGCTCTGCCGGAACAGCTGGTGTTTATTGATGTCAAATGGGGGCTGGTGAACTTTGACTCCTTGGGACAAAGCTGGCTGAGCTTTCCCGCCAAGAAGGTCAATAAACCTCTTCCCGTGTAAAGTTTATTGGCCTTTTCCCCCCTTCCACCCATTCTTTCACAGTCATGCATAAATAGGAGTCTAGCGTTTAGATCCAGGCAATTCATGCTACCCCTCTATTCTGCCTTGGTTAGACCACACCTGGAATATTGTGTCCAATTCTGGGCACCACAGTTGAAGGGAGATGTTGACAAGCTGGAATGTGTTCAGAGGAGGGCAACTAAAATGATCAAGGGTGTGGAGAACAAACCCTATGAGGAGCCGCTTAAAGAGCTGGGCATGTTTAGCCTTCAGAAGAGAAGGCTGAGAGGAGACATGATGGCCATGTATAAATATGTGAGGGGAAGTCATAGGGAGGAGGGACCAAGCTTTCTGCTGCCCTGGAGATTAGGACGCAGTGGAACAATGGCTTCAAACTACAGGAAAGGAGATTCCATCTGAACATGAGGAAGAACTTCCTGACTGTGAGAGATATTCAGCAGTGGAACTCTCTGCCCCGGAGTGTGGTGGAGGCTCCTTCTTTGGAAGCTTTTAAACAGAGGCTGGGTGGCCATATTTCGGGGGTGCTTTGAATGCAATTTTCCTGCTTCTTGGCAGAATGAGATTGGACTGGATGGCCCATGAGGTCTCTTCCAACTCTGTGGTTCTATGGTTCATGAAAATAGTGTGTCTAGTACATTAAAACCAAAGTTAATATTTAACCCAAACAGCAAAGCTAAATAAAGATTAATCTCATTCTGTTATTTTCCCAGTTGTAGTGGAAACCATTGAGATATTTTACTAAGTAGGAGCAAGCGAGGGCTCAGCATTTTTAAGGATGTAGCAGTTTGATTTGATTTGTTCATAGCAACCTTGAATATATAATCTGGAAGTCTTACACAAAGGTCAAGGGGCCATGAGCGATCATTACATGCAGTATTGGACTGTTTGTTCTCAGATTTTTCTGGGTCACCATCTATGTTCAGGGAGCCCCCGGTAGCGTAGTGAGTTAAACCACTGAGCTGCTGAGCTTGTTGACCGAAAGTTCATAGGTTCAAATCTGAGGATTGAGCTTCCACTGTCAGCCCCAGCTTCTGCCAACCTAGCAGTTTGAAAACATGCAACTGTAAGTAGATCAATAGGTACCGATCCAGCAGGAAGGTAATGGTGCTCCATGCAATCATGCCGGCCACATGACCTTGGAGGTGTCTATGGACAACTCCGGCTCTTTGGCTTAGAAATGGAGATGAGCACCACCCCAGAGTCGGACACGACTGGACTTAATGTCAGGGGAAAACCTTTACCTTGTCTATGTGCAACAAGTTTTTAAACAACTAAACTGGATGACGACAGCAGTGGAAGAGAATACATTTGAGAACAAAATAAATCCACAGAAATGCTCACTGGCCAGCTTTGGTTACAGCCAAAGAAAGCCTGAGTGAGGATAACATATTCTTGAAATACGTATCTTGCTAGGAATTCTATTCCCAGTGGCAGATGCCATGGATATTCAGTATTCAGGCATGCCAGCTGTGGTGTGATTTTTACCTAGTTTACCTTGATTAGCAAACTGAGTTATCAAAATACAAAATAAGCTGAAAGACCGGAGAGCAAGGGGCTCGATGCATCTCCAGGGTTTTGGAACTTCGTTTAGGCTTGGATAACATCCAGTGATATAAGTGCTTTGGTCCACATCTTTGGACTACAATCCATAAAGTTTAATTTTCAAGTCACCTGCACTAATCCCAGTGACTGTAATGAAATTGTTCAGAAGCTTATATAACCCAACCACCTGCCCCACAGCAAAAAGAAAGCCAGACCCGTTATTTTCCCTACTTTGCCCTGGTGTTAGCTGATAGTATTAATGCTTACAAAGTAGTTATTTTTCCTCATCACTGAAAKAAAGTATCTGCYCTGAACTTAATGTGTGCTAACCTCACCACAGGTAATGGAAATCCTTCAGGGTTTATTTTTTCTTCCTTTGCTGCTGCTTATATTCTGTTTCACACAAAATGTTATTTCTTATTCAGCCCCCCCCCCCCCCATTCCACAGCCTTATTTATTTTATTGCTATTTAGTTAGTTAGTTCTCCCATTYTGGGAGAAAGGTGGGGCATAAATGCAATAAATAAATAATTGTTTATATCCCCCCCATCTCCCAAGGCAGCTTAAAATTGTGATACGGTTAAATACAGTTAAAACGATGGGCAATACAAAAGCTAAAACAAACAAATAGTCATATTAAAATATTTAAAATGTTATAGAAAAGTTGTAAAATATATGATAAAAATAATGATGATAATAAATAATAATTGATAAAAATAATAATGTTAAAAACACAGTACACCAACATTCCTAACCCTATGCAATGCATGGGATTGACATATTTAGATAGACAAACCTTTGCAAACTATGGGATTTTGTTCGTAAGGAATTTCTCTTGTGTATCAGATTGGACTACTGTAATGCGCTCTACGTGGGGCTGCCCTTGAAAACGCCTTGGAAATTTCAACTAGTTCAGCGGGTGGCCGCCAGGATGTTAACTGGTGCTCCTTACAGAGAGAGGTCAAACCTCCTGTTCAAGGAGCTCCACTGGCTCCCGTTCATTTTCCGGTCCCAATTTAAGGTGCAGGTGCTCACCTACAAAGCCCTAAACGGTTTGGGACCTGCCTACCTGCGTGAMCGCATCTCCRTCTATGAACCCAYACRCTCTCTTYGTTCATCTGGAGAGGCCCTGCTCACGATTCCACCTGCGTYGCWGGCRCGGCTGGTGGGGACGAGGGACAGGGCCTTCTCTGTGGTGGCCCCCYGACTCTGGAACTCCCTYCCCAAGGACATCAGACAAGCCCCTACRTTGGCAGTCTTTAGGAAGAGCTTGAARMYCTGGCTATTCCGGTGTGCCTTTCCAGAATAGAAAACCCCAGCAACACGTCCCAAAAGCACTTTATTAGAGATTGAGATTGTCTGCACATTGTGCCTATCCAAAAATCCTTATATATCACTCARCATACTCAGCACTTTTTAATCTGTACCCATTACATTTGCCTGGCCTAGTTTTTATTGTATCAYGGTGTGCTGTTTTACTGTTTACTGTTATTGCTTTAATGTTTTTGATTTGCTTTTGGTTTATATGTAATTGTTATATTGTTGTTTATTGTGGCCTTGGCCTTTGTAAGCCGCATCGAGTCTTTCGGGAGATGCTAGCGGGATACAAATAAAGATAATAATAATAATAATAATAATAATAATAATAATAACAACAACAACAACAACAACAATAATAATATCAGCATGGTGCTGAGTCCCCAGTGGCACAATGGGTTAAACTCTTGTGCCAGCAGGACTGCTGACCAACAGTCAGCAGTTCGAATCCAAGGAGAGCGGGTTGAGCTTCCTCTGTCAGCTCCAGCTCCCCATGCGGGGACATGGGATATGCCTCCCATAAAACATCAAAATATCCGAGCATCCCCTGGGAAACATCCTTGCAGGTGGCCAATTATCTCACACCAGAAGCGACTTGCAGTTTCTCAAGTCACTCCTGACAGAGAAAAAAATGGTGGCTGAATCCACATTTAGAAAATGTGCTTCTTTATGTATAGCAAGAAAGGTAGAAACTGGAACTCTTAATACAATTTTTGTGGTCTGAAAGGCCCCCCAGAAACTGAGAAATTACCCCCAGATTAATCAACATGTTGATAATAAATTAACATGATTAGTGTGGAGACAGTTTCTTTATATTTTGAAGGGGGGAAAAAATTCCGGCCAAGACAGACCATCTTTCATTTCTCTCCCTTAGTCTCTCTTGTGCTTCTCTTAGAAGAAAAATATTACTAAAAAGAAAAAGGGAAAGGAAAATGGCAATGATGCATTCCATTATAGATCTGGGTGAAGGCTCAGAACATACTCCATAAGGAATTAGGAAATTCTGCTTTAAGAGACATCAGAAACATTAATAGCATTATTTTTCCCCAAGAAAACTCTGTGCTTTCCAAGAATAAATACAGACGGCAACAATAATAAATCACAATTAATGTAAAGGGATGACCACACTGATAATTAATCTTCTGTTGCAGTGTAGATATTCCTCTTTTAATGAGCTACACTTTTCAAATGTGGTTCAGAATGTATCTAAATTAAGGAATTTTTATTGTATGCCTTAAGTCGTTTCTAACTACGGTGATCCCTGAGATGAGCCTGTCACAGGGTTTTCTTGGCAAGATTTGCTTGGAGGAGGTTTACTTTTTGCACTTTCTGAGACTGGGGCCCTTCCACACCACACAGCTTAATCAAAATCCACATTTTCTGTTTTGAACTAGAATATATGGCAGTATGGGCTCAGATAACCCAGTTCAAAGCGGATTTTCTGCCTTGATATTTTGGGTTATCTGACTATATGGAAAGGCCCTAGGACTATGTGACTAGGCTGAGGTCACCCAATGGATTTCCAAATCTGAGCAAAGATTTGGACCCTCATCTCCAGAGTCATAGTGGATCAAACCACTATACCAGGGGTCCTCAAACTAAGGCCCAAGGTCTGGATATGGCCCTACAAGGTCATTTACCCAGCCCTCGTTCAGGGTCAACCTAAGTCTTGAAAGCACACAACAACAACAACAACAATTTATTTATTATTTATTTCCTATATTGGTATCCCGCCCTTCTCACACATCCCGGGGGAGGGGGGGGGGACTCAAGACAGCGTCACAACAAGCACCATATGATGCCATTACCATCATAAAACACTCAACAGATACATTAAAAACATTAAA